TGGAATGCCGTGGATCTGAGGCAAGCACTCACCAGCATACATACCAAACACATGCACCTCTCCAGTTCAAGCTCTCTGAGGTGCACAGAGAATAAAAATTAAACGCTTTCTAGGGGCAAGGTGGGAGGGAAAGGGTGGGGAAAGGAGCTGTGGTTTCCTTGTTTCCTTTAGCTCTTATATGTTTGAGCTGAAAGCTAAGCACCCAAAAGCACACGTTGAAAAGGCGAGCTGAGATTTCTATTTGGACATGAGGAGACCAATATGGAGCAGGAAGGCAGGCTCCAAGCAGCAGTAAGAAGCAGTAGCTGAATTTTTGCTTTTGCTGATGAGATTGTAAAATGTGAGACAGAGACCTATAAAGCCTTCACATAAAACTGGAGAAGAGGTGGAGAGGGTTCTTTGTGTAAGAAACTAGAGAAGCAGCAGGAGAAACAGCAAAGGGTATGGTTGTAGAAGCCAAGAGAGGACAAGGAAAGCAGGAGGCTTTATAGGAGATGACAATGGAGAGATTTGATTACAAAAAGTTATTATAAACAAAAGAAGATTGTGAAGATCAAAGCAGAGAAATGTGACTGAAAAGAGCATAAAAGAGAGAGAAACCTATTTGATGAGCGTAAACAACTTTTCAGTGAGGGCAGTTATTAAAAGAGATGGAGGTTGAGGAAGGATTTTTCCCAGAGAGACAAATGGAGTCAAGGACTGTTGTTTTAAGATGAGGGGACTAATGAATGTTTATACTGTGAAGAAAGAGTGAGACGAAGGAGGAGAAGAAATATATAAAGGCAAGAAATATACAACCAAGAGCAAGACGAGGTTTGCTAACAATTCATTTTTAATGGATAGTTGGGCAAACAGACAATTTTTCAGATATATTCTGAGAAAGGTCATGTTTGCCCAAAAGCTGGTTTCCATTTTTCTCAGCTATATAAATTGATTCAATGAAAATACTATCTGTTCTTACTCACCTTGTATTGTCTATGTCTTTGGATTTTCAAGGCGCAACAATCAAAAACAATCCAAATCAAGACAAAACCAGTAAATTTAGTGATTAGTGTATGACTGGAGGGTGGGAGACGCTGAATTGGACACAGCTTTTTTCAAGAGAGGAGAGACAGAAGAACAGAGAAGTTAGAAGAGAAAAACCAAACACTTCTACACAAAGCGATAAAAGCAGAAGTATGCCTTTTTCTTTACAGAACTAGGAAAAAACAGGGTTCTGTGATCCAGCCTTCAGAAAATGGCCAGCTCCTTCAAGTGGGTAGGCAGCTCTTTTTTCATTTCTCTTCTAAGATCCAGGCTACATAGTTTCCATATTGTTTTATTCAAGAGCTGGTATTACTAACTTCCAGAGCAAAAGCATGTGACTTGCCCCTTCTCATGCCGTAAAATGTGCCTGTCACTATGTTATAAGAAAAAGGAAAATCAATAGTGGACAATATTTGGTTGAAACAAACTTTTCATTTCAGCTTTTACTCCTTCACAATGTAAATTTGGGAGTGATTTTGAATACATAATGAACTCCGGTTGGTCTTGCACTATAAAACTTCGACACTCTGGCAGGAGGAGTGATCTGATGCTGCCCACTCACTCTCCTGCCTACGGCCGGATGAACACCGCTGCTGACTGTCTGAAAACTGTTCGAAAGTTTTTAAGAAAGGTTAGATAATGATGGAGATTTCACAGTGTCCCTGAGCAATCCGTTCCAGTCTTTAACTCTCCTAACCATTAAGAAGTTCTTTCTAATGTCTAATTTAAATCTCCCTTATTGCAGTTTAATCCCATTATATCTTGTATCCATAATGAATGTGGTGAATAATTGATTCCCTTCCTCTTTGCTGCTCCCTTCTGCACATCTGAAAACTGTATCCTTGCCTCGTCTTTCCCTGCTCAAGAGTAAACAACTCCACGTCCTTCAGTCTTCCCTTGTAGGCCATGGGGTTTTTTTAACCGTTGATCATTCTTGCTTTTCTCCTCTGGGCTCTTTCCATCTGTCTCCTTTCTCTTTTGAAATGGGATGTCCGACACTGAACACAGTATTCTAGCGGATGCCTTACAAACGCAAGGTATGGCAGAAGAACTCTTCTTCAAAGTACATACCCCAGATTGCAAAACAAATGAATAAATAAACAACTCAAAGCAACAGTAAGATACTACTGACTTTGGTTCAGCTTGTTATTTCTTACAAGTTGTGATCCCCTTCTGTGCACCCACTGCCTTGTTCTGTATAAGTTCCTGTCAACGTGTAGTACTCCGCATTTTTCTTTACTGAAGTGTACCCTACTTTCTCCAGGCCCTTTCTCTAATTTTCAAGATCCCATTAAATTCTACAATGCAAGTGACTTCTTTTGGTTTGGTCTCACCTGCAAACTTAAAATACCAGTGAAGAGTCAGGAAAAACAATTCTTTGAACATTGATATATCACTGGTTAAGAAAACAGCATTCATTTAGAATGAATGAGGTTAGAAACTGGAACCTTAAATAAAAACATCATTGTCTGTGGATTCTTTCCTCTAAGTTGTACTGCATTTTTTGCTGTGCAAGTCATTTACATTTCGCACAGCGCAAGTTCACATCTCCTTCATAACTCAGAAATTGTCTTAACATTTTAAGGAGTCTTTTCTAGGATAAAATTTGTATATGTCGGATTTCTCCAAGACATGTGAAAACCAAAAGAAAAAGGCTATTGGCCAATGAAAATAAGTCACTGGTCTACATGCTTCCCATATGCACACTATCATTGTGTTTCAGACCTTGTCATATGCATCACTGCTCATTTTCTGATAGTTATCAGAAATAATACTAATATTCTAAGCCTTTAGTTGGACAGCAAGCCAAAAGTATTTGATCAGATACCAAAGAGCTCAGAGCTATTGCAAAGGCTTCCTGTGTGACGTCCCACTGGCTCAGCAGCTCTAACCACTGAAATTAACTGTGTTGTTTTATTCATTAGAGATAAAGCAGAGGTAAGAGAATGAGAACAACCTCTGCTGAATAGTGTAGATCATTATGCACATCTTAATGAACTGCTTTTAAAACTAATTTTAGGAATTAAAAAAAATGGGGAATAGAAAGTATCTTATGGACTCATGGTGCTATCAAACTTTAGAAGTGACTTTGGGAAATTCTGAAGAAGGGAGTTTGGTCTGTTGGGTTCAGAAATGTATCAGTTTGAAGGACTGGCCAAGCTGCGTTGCTGGTAGAGGCTGAGGAGCCTGGACTGGCCCAGTAGTCAGATTTCTAGTATTTGCTTATATTGATCCAACTCTGTCAAAAAAAAAAAAAAAAAAAGTAAGGTCTTTCCAGAGATTACACCCACTTAACTAAATCAAATATAGCTAGCTCAGCATACATCATGGCAAGACAAGTTCCCTGGAAGGACACAAGATTTGTGGGTTGCTCTCCGAGAGAAATAACCTTCATTTGAGATGCCTGTATGAAGGAAGGCAATGTAGATTGTGTGAGAAAGACATTTGAATATTCCTTCTCATGTGCTGTCTTTTAAATCTTCCTTTGGGTGAAAGGAAATCCTGTTCTCTTTTTTTCCTACTTAAAAATCAGTCTTGTTATAAAAAAAGCCAAATCATAGAATGATAGAATGGTTTAGGTTGGAAGGGACCTTAAACAGATGCAAACAAGGTAAACAAAACCCAGGCAGAGAGCACAAGCAGGCAAACAGGACCCCTACTTAGCAGTGACTTCTGCCAGCATTCTCACCCTGAAGGTCTTCACCTCTCCATGTTTTGATTCTGTGCATGTCCCAAAACGTGTCAGCTTTGACAGGCTTTGGAGTTCAGTGGACAGCCATTTAGACACCTACTCAGAGCCTGGAAACTGACACCTAACTCCTTGGAAAAGCTCTTATTTTCAAAGTATAATTCTTTTGGAAATGCCACTTGGCTTCATGCAGAATGCAGTGGCAGGTGACAATTACTTTTAAGACTTGCCTAGAGAAGTAGCTGCCTCTTCTTGTTTTCTACCCATTTTTTAGCATCCACACAGAATATAGGAGACCAAGGTCATTTCTTCCTTGACCCAGAGCTAGTCCAACTCACATTTTCTACCTCCAGAGGGGGTCCTAGTCACCCAGCTGTCCTTAGAAGGTGGGGGAGAGGGACGTTATTCATCATTCTGGTGGAGGTATGGTCATTCCATTTTCCATAGAAGAAACTGGGATTCAGGGGCTAGAAAACATATACATGATTGTAGCATAGTGGCTGGGGTAGTCACAGAGGAAAAATGAACATTTCATAGAATCGTAGCATCATAGAAGGGTTTCAGTTGCGGGGGTGGGGGGGCAGCTGGTCCCGTCGGTGCCAGGATCTCTCCCGCC